CAATAACAGCAGGGAGCATCACCTTCAACATTTACATGTTGCTTCGGTGGCCCTGACCGAGTATGAACAAGCATACAAAAGGGCATCCATCGTAAGATTCGATTTTCCTGAGGACGGAAAGGGGAAAGGAACAGAAATATGGCAGTTTCAGTGGACAGTCTGGTCATGGAGGGTGCAGAAGTGATGCCTCGAGGTGACCGTCAGGCTTCGGCAGGCCTCTCTTCGGGCTCCTTTCAGGCCCGTTCAGGCCCGTTCAGGCCCGTTCAGGCCTTAGGCTTTAGGTTGCCGTCATCGATTCTTCCGTCGTTGATCGCCGCACTGATCATCTCCCAGGCCTCTGCGGCGTAACGGGGGCGCTTTTTTTGCCCCTAGAAGCCACCTACTGCTGCTGCCTGTCTGCTCCAGTTCCAGTCCATCCGCCATCCATGCGTTCTACCGCACTGAATTCCACTGTACAGGCACCGTTATAATCACATGTGCTATTCCCGCTGTAGTCACTGGCACACACCACTGCCACTACGATGAGAGGTTTTTAGAGGAGATAAAAAAGGATCGGAAAATTAATATTAGCCCTCGCCCTACCTCCTCCGCTCGCGGGTCTCTCATCCTCTCCTCCCCATCTTACCACCTTTCAAACTTTGACGTCCATATCCCCTCACAAACGCACCGCTCACGCTCACCTACGTCAAACGTCTCTACGAACGATTCGACTTCCCGCTGAGATCTACAGTAAAAACCTGTTCGTCTCTCCGAAATCCGCGTCTTGACATCATGCCTTCGAAACAGTGGGGTAAGCCATCTTTTTTTGTGTGCCCCAGATCAGACTTTCCCATCAATAGCGAGCGACAACAGGACGGCTAGCAGACGACAGCACATACACATATACACTCGCACACGCGCACACGCGCGCACACAGTCGTCATGTCATCAAGGCATATACGTCATGTTTTCTTCTCATGTCGCGCGACTGTGGGGTTCTTCTGCTGCGCGAATCCCTGGATACCGCACACGCCTTTCTATTGATGGGATGTATATCCGCCCTGTGCCTTGCATCTAGCTGACCGCTTTTCGTGCCATGCGTGCAGACGAGGAGGGTAGCGAGTCCGGCGACTCAGCTCCCCAGTCACCCCGTGTGGCTGCCGCCGCCACCGTCCGCCGCCGCCAGTTTGACGATGAGGAGGATGACGGCGACGTGAGTCTTTTCTGCCCCCGCCCCCGCCCCCGCCACACTAGACTCCTCCCTCACAAGGAGGAGCAGGGAAGAAGGTGAAGACAAGGACTGACATGGAGATGACTAGGTCCTCGACTCTTGGGATGCCGGCGAGGATTCCGAGGCAGAGCGCGAGAAGCAGCGCAAGGCTGCCGAGGCGAAGGCCAAGGCCGATGCCGAAGCTGCTGCCGCTAAGAAGGCCAAGGCCGAGCGTATCGCGAAGAACAAGGCTGCCAAGGCCAAAGCTGAGGCTGAAGCCGAGGCTCGGGCCCTGGCCGAACTCCAGGCCAACGCCGCCATCGCCGCCGAGACCGACAGCCAGCGTCGTGCGCGCATGGCCGCCGCCGAGAAGGAGGCCGACCTCGACCACGCCGCCGACCTGTTCGGCGAGGTGGGCATCAAGAGCGGCCGCAAGGCCCCCACCGCCGGAGTCGCCGTCCCCGTCGGGCCGAAGGACTCGGCTGGTAACACGGTCAACATTGGTGCCCTGTCCATCTTCAACCCCACCACCAAGGCCCAGTTTGAGCAGCTGCGCAACACCATCGGTCCCCTCATCGTCGCCCACTCCAAGAAGCCCCAGTACGCCCTCTTCCTTCAGGACTTCGTCAAGCAGCTCGCTTCGGAGCTTCCCAGTGACCAGGTCAAGAAAGTCGCCAGCAGCCTGACCACGCTGAGCAACGAGAAACTCAAGGCCGAGAAGGCCGCCGAAAAGGGCGGCAAGAAGAGCAAGGCTGCCAAGACCAAGACGTCCCTCGTCACCGGCCGTGCCAATCAGGATATTGGCACCTACGACGACGACGACTACGCCGACGATGACTTTATGTGAAGCGCTTGACGAGAAGAAGGAAACTCACCACCCCCTCAAAAGGTCGATTCTTCTCTTTTTTTCTTTTTTCTTCATTGTTTCGAAGCACTGCCTCCAAGACCCCACCGTCCCTTCACCATCCATTCCCCTCTTACATGGATATGGCTGGATGACACTCGGTGGGCTCACCTCCCCTTTCCAAATGGGGCCAAGTCCAAGTCAACATGCACACGTGCTGGTAGGCGAGACTTGGGCCTCGCCTTTCGCCTCCCCCATTTAGTCTATATATACCCGGGGGAAACGTGCTAAACGCCGGGGTCGTCTGCACTTTTAGAGAGTCGGGAGCCATAGATGGCGCAAGCGACCCGTTGAGTGAGAGGCATGTCGGGAGAGCGCAAAATCATCAACGACAAAGGAGAAAGAGGGGCTTATGTGCTCTCCCGCCATACAAACCGGGTCGTTTCACCTCCGGTAATATTGCGCAGCAGTGCTCATTTGCGGTCAGGAACATAAAAGGAGTCGGGATGATTTCTCGTTTTTTTTTGCTTTGTTTTGCTGTCTTTCCTGCTTTCCAAGGCCCTCATTTTGTTCATCATGAACCAATTTCGAGCGAGTCAGTTTCTAGCCCAGGTTATAATGCACATTCACAATCGATCTTGCACACATTCTCTTGATTCATCTCACCTCGTGACTCACGACCATTGTTCCAGCATGCATCACGCAAAGGCTTTTTTTACACATGAAAAAAAAACATGGGGGTATCAATTATATGTATGCTCCCCAAGTCGTCTGTGAGAGTGAAGATGTTGTGTTGACATGAACCGCCGAACGCCATGCAGAACAATCAGATATGAAGAAGAATACGCCTGATGTACTAACATAATGAAAAGAGAAGAACAAAACATAACCATCTCCTCCGTTGTAAAAGAAAAACACCCCCATTAACCCATGCGCCATGCTCCTAAGATATATTTTGAAGAAAAAGAAAGTTGGGCAGGTTGTTCTTTCGTCTATCATTTGTTTCGTTGTTGTACAAGTCGTGTCTCTGCCTTGGAACCCGTGGTGGTGAACCGAAATACAGACCAAAATCAAAAAAAGTAGAAGGGTGGTTAGAGAAATGGCAAAAAAAAAAGGGTATTAGACAACATTGCCTGCCATTCCCATGAATAAAGCATGAATAGCAAGAGACAGTGTCCAGATCCCCACCTTCTTGAACCTGCGCACTCGGCTCTGCTGGTCCTCAATGTCTCGCGCAAAGGCGTCATACGTAGCGGCTGACATGTCGTTCATCAGGCCGCAGTCGTGGACCGTCCAGCTGCCGTCAAAGTCGCTCGCGCGCTTGACGATGCGGCATGTGATAGGTATGTACGTCTTCTTGGCGTTGATGTAGGCGACAATGGGGCGGACGAGGGCCTGGTTGACGTAGGTGAGGTCCTTTGTGAAGAGGGGGACTGCGGCCTTGACGTCGTTTAGGTGAATCCTCAGGTCCATGAGGAGGTAACGGCGGTCGTGGTCATTGACCTTTTCATCCCCATCCTGGTCGTGCTCCTGTTGGTCGTGCTCCAATTGATGCTGCAGCTGATACTCGGCATCAACGTCGATTACTTCGGAAAGATGGCCAGACCGCGCTAGGTCTAGTGTTGTTATGTCGCTGGTGTTGGCGCTGTCGTCGTTGCTGATGTTGCTGTTGCTGTTGATGTTGACCTTGCGGACAAATGTGTGGCGATTGGCGATCACCACCTCCTCTAGTTGGTCGTAGAAATCAGACACGACCTTTGTGATGCTCTCATCCGACTCGGCAGGTAAGGCAATGTCGGCCACGATGTCGACGTTGCCCTCGTAGATCCAGCCAAAGGGGCCCTCGACACCGTTGTTTAGATGGTCAATCTGCAGCCCGTCGATGCGCAGCCGGCTAAACTTCTTCCACGCGTCGGCCTCGCCGAAGCCGTGCGATGCACCAGAACCCGTGACGGTACCATGGACCTGCTTCGGGTGGATGGTGAAGAGAGACCCATCGTACGAGCCAGACATGTGGTTGGCTGAAAGGAAGTCGTAGAATAGCCACTGCTTGCGAAGGCGCGGCAGCTCGCACGAGTAGATGCTCACCGAGAAGGGCCGGAAGTTGGACGGCTGGTGGATCGTCAACAACAGGTCCTCGAGCTTGAACGACTCGATTTCAAAGTCTCCGGGCTGATGAGTGTGACGGTATGAGAAGGGGTCGATCCACTCCTTTGGCCAGTGCACCGATGTCCGGTCAACGACACCACGCACGCCCTTGACCTCGACGTCTTTGAGAAGGCCCTTGCCGTTCCACCAATTGAGGGACGACAGCGTCACGTTGACCGTGGCGATGGTCACATCAAACTGCGTGTAGTTGCCGTCGTCCTCCTCGTATATCGAGTCGTCATTGTCGTTGTTGTGGGCATTTTCCCGTGCTGCCGCAACAGCCGCTGCATCCGTGGACCCCTTGCTTACAGAAGACTCCCTCTGTCCCGGTCGGCGTGAGACGAAGACGTTGCGGAAGGAAATGACGCCGTCTCCCCACTTTGGGACGATAGCCGACTCGAAGATTACGGTGATGCCGGCGGACTGCGTCAAGTAATCACCGATCCATCGCGCCAGGGTTTCTGTGATATCGCGAGTTAGTATTGTGAACAAAGAAGGCCTATCACAGAGGCGGGGCTACTCACCTTGGGCTAGGACGGTATTTATAGATAGGATGACGAGCGAGAAGAAAGTCGTCGTTCCAACCAGAACCCACAGCAGGTGACCCAGCATAACCCAGGATAAGAAGGCACCCCATTCATCGGCGTTCCACGGCCGCATGGACCGAATAGACATCCACTTAAACCGGACTTTGAGCCTCTGTCGGAAATTGGTCGCAGCAGCGAGAAGCTCCTCCTTGGATGGCCGATGTGGTATCCGCGGAAGGTACTTGGACATAGACGTCGTCAAGGACTCTGCTTCAGGTTCCGGGCTTGGCTTGCCCTCTGCAGGGGCAAGGTTAGTTTTCAACTGGGAGGGAGACCGGCCTTCGCCATCGCGTCCATGGTCTTCCGCGCCTTCTTGGTCTGGTCGTGTGCTTGGCCGAACATGTTTGCTGGATGTAGGGCCTTTCGAGGTATTACTATATGTTCGTAGCTGACGTAGGATGCGTGCCGTAGGTAGAGTTCCCGATGAGAATGAAAAGTCGTTCCGAAATATGGCTAACGGAGAGGAAAATGGCCGTTGGGCCACCGGTTGCAGGCCGCCAAGGCGCCCGCGGGTTGTGACCCCCGGTGGGAACGCCGAGAAAGAGGACGACCGGTTTACATTACAGTAGAGGTGATATGGAGTCGTTGCTGATGGAGGATGTGTTGGCTGTGAGGAAAAGAGGCGAAATGAAGGGTTGCTGAGGGTCTTCTTGGTAAGGGTTGTTGCATGGCTGGATTTCGGCAAGACGGATGCTATCAACCATGACGAAGTAGCTTTAGACATGTTTCCGGACCATGGCGCCCAAGGGTGTTTTCAGATGTGCCACCAAAAGAGAAGCTGGAAGGAAGAAGGCACAAGTCGGGACGGCGTTTGATGATGCAAAACGTAAAATTTCTCCTGAGTCACTCGACAAGGAACCAAGAGTTTAGCCACGCTGATGCAGTATACTGTATTACAGAAAAAGTTCCCCATGACGCGCACGGGAAGTGGATGCTGCTGGCTGAGTATTGGACCAATAGATAAGTTTTGATAAGATACCACAAATTTTCGACTTGGGCCTCCAGTTTAATAGTTTTAGTCGGCGGGTGGCAGAAAGTCGACGATTTTTTGAAGAAAAAAAATTGACGATATCCTTTTTCTTCCTTTATCATTGTTGCATCTTCATTTTACTCGACAACGACCCATACGGCGGAGCATCCAAATTTTCGAGTAGAATTCAAGAAGATTCTTACCCCCCAAGGCCTCCCAACTATCCGTCATGCCTGCTCCCACGGCCCTGAAGCAGGCTGAGGAAGCTCCGCTTCCGATCGAAGTCGACTCGATGATGCCCGATGGTATGAAGGCGGACCAAAAACAAAGATACCACCATACCATACGGGCTAACATGACCTACTAGACAACGGAAATGACCAGACCGATTTTGTCCTGGGATCAACCAATATGGATGCGTCCGAGATGGACGCCGTTCTTGAGCCCGTCAAAGATACCAACGAGGACATGAAGATGGATGAAGAGGGTCGTCCGCAGTTTGCACCCGCCAGGGATATCGTGGGTTTATATCCTTCGTCTCATAAGTCATATATGTGCTTCAACTAACACGGAAGAAAAAAGGACCCTGTCACGCGAGTCGAGACACGAAAGATCCCCGTGCCGCCCCATCGCATGACACCCCTCAAGCAGGCCTGGAGCTCCATCTACCCGCCGCTGGTTGAGCACTTGAAGCTTCAGTGCCGCATGAACATCAAACGGAAGACGGTTGAGCTGAGGACTTCCAAGCACACAGCCGACTCGGGAGCTCTACAGAAGGGCGAGGATTTTGTCAAGGCCTTCACGCTGGGCTTCGACGTCGACGACGCTATCGCCCTGCTCCGTCTAGACGACCTGTACATTGAGACGTTCGAGATCAAGGACGTCCGTACTATGCACGGTGACAGCCAGTCGCGCGCTATTGGTCGCATCGCCGGAAAGGATGGAAAGACCAAGTTCGCCATCGAGAACGCCAGCAGGACGAGAATCGTCCTTGCTGACGCCAAGATTCACATCCTCGGTGGTTTTAAGAACATCCACATGGCCAGAGAGTCGGTCGTCAGCCTGATTCTCGGTAAGCCGCCTGGAAAGGTGTATGGAAACCTCAGGACGGTGTCGGCGCGCATGAAGGAGCGCTTCTAGACAAAGTGACGACTCTATCAATGATGATGGGTAGCTGAAGGATATGAGGTGTTTTTTTTTTATTTCTTTGTTCTTTTTCCAACGCTGGCGTTTGGGTGGGGAGTTTTACACATACACTTGCTTCTTCCATCTGGTATCATCTGTTTTTTCAAGTAAATCGCCGGTAATGGCCAACACAAAAAGTCATTCACGAAACACAGAAATTGAAAACATGACAGCATGCTACACATGTAAAAAATGTTAAAGTCAGAATGGTGGGGGTGAAGAGGGGCAGTATATTGTGATTGCGTGCCACAAGGGTCCCACCACCAACAAACAGTCAGTACTATTATCGTACTATCATATGATAATGCCCAGCAGTACGAGAAGTAATAATAGTACCATCATCGTAGAGTTATCTCCGCGACACTAGCATTAACGCTCCTCTTCCAGTGACCACTTTCCATAAAAATCAATACTCATACACTACCGCGCCATTTCTAGTACTGATACATGTAATCTGTAGACAATGCTGAGCCACCCGTTGACTCGTACGAGGCCAATGCGGCACAGCCACAGAATCTAACGTTACTGTTCACAGTCCACGAGCTTACGCTATATGGACCGGAAGCGGTAGTAAGTATGCTTGAACAAAAGTAGGACTTCTACTATTACTGGTACGAAGAGAGGTAAAAAAGACGGGAATAGAAAAAATCATTCAAGGTAGGTCGCGACTCACGAGGTTGGATAGGGACATAGCATACGCACTTCTTAAACGTGACAAGAAATTACAATCACCGTCTGACAGGACTCCAGAGACGTGCGGCGGCTGTTTCAGTGGACTTCGGCTGTTTCAGTGGACTTCGGCTGTTGTGGGGGGTGTCAGCCGCCTGGAGGTTCACCTAGAAGCTAGAGCCTAATACTTGTGGGAGTTAGAGGGAGCCCCCTGGAACAGTTGGAAGCACGGCCAGCGGGTCTGGCGAAACGCTTAGGGGGCCGGAGTTGTCTGGGGAGCCTGGAGGGGCCCTGGCTTGCATTCGCCACACCTGAATTTAGAACTGGAGCCCCTACCAAGTAAAAAGCCCCTCCCCTCTTGAAGGGGTTCATCTACTCCCGACCTCCCACCGCAACATCATATCCTGGGTTGCACACACGAACGCTCCCTCCATTACACGCACAATCCACCCTCGGGGATAGTATTTCCAAGGGATATAACAACTCGACACAGACTGTATCTTACAACCGCCCAGCATGAAGAAGTTCGGCTTTGGCAAGAAGGGCGAGGAGGGCGAAGACGCCAACCGAGGCGCCCTCTTTGGCCGCAAGAAGTCGTCATCCTCGCAGTCCGACAACCCATATGCCAAGGGAGGAAACGACCCGTACGCCGATCCCAACTACCAGAAGATGACTCCTTATCAGAAGGCCAAGGCCGGCGTTGAACATGGCGCACCGCCCGGAGGCCCGGCTGGTGGCAGCTCGTACGGTGGACAGCCTGCCCAGCCTTCGGGCTACAGCGCCAGCCAATACGGATCAGGGGGTGGCTACGGGTCCAACCGCTACGAGAAGAGCCCAGCCCAGGACCCATACAGCTCGCCAGCTCCCGGGGCTAGAGGCCCCGGAGGGTACGGCGGCCTGGGCCGTCTGGACAGCGAGACCGACGACAACCGTGACGCGCTCTTTGCGGGGGCGCAGCAGCGTCAGGCGCAGAGGCCCGACCAAGGAGCTCCGCCGCCAGCATACTCGCAGAGCGGCAGTGGCACGGCCGCCGAAGCGGGCGGTTACGAAGGCTATGGGGAACAGCGCGAGCTGACGGCTGAGGAGGAGGAAGAGCAGGAGTACCAGGCCATCCTTGCGGAGAAGCGCAAGTTGCAGCAGGAAAGTGCAGGATCGGTGAACCGGTCGGTGCAGATGGCCAGGCAGGCCAACGAGGTCGCTCAGGCGACGCTGGCCCGTCTGGGCGCCCAGGGCGAGCGCCTTCAGAATACGGAGCAGCACCTCAACATGGCGGCGAACCAGAACAAGATTGCGCAGGACAGGGCCGCCGAGCTCAAGACACTCAACCGCAGTATGTGGGCCGTCCACGTCAGCAACCCGTTCACATCCAAGCAGCGTCAGCAGAGGGCCGATGATGAGGTGATGGCACGCCACCGCGCTGAGCGCGCCCAGCGTGAGGAGACGCGCCGCGATGCCTACCAGGCCAACCAGCGCATGGAGGGTAACTTCAAGGAGCTCAACCAGACGACCGCTCAAATGCAGCGCCAGAGGACGGGCAAAAAGGACTACGGCAAGTTCAACCTTGACGACGAGGACGACGAGGCCCGCGAGCTCGAGGACCAGATTGACGAGGGCATCGATGAGCTCGGCAACCAGGTCCGCATGATGAACATGGTTGGCCGTGCCATCGGTAGAGAGGTCGACGCCCAGAACTCACAGATTGAGCGCATCTCTGCTAAGGTAAGATTTCCACGGCATCGACGCATTACGAACTTACGGACACTGACACTTTCTTCAGAGCGACGCTGTCGACGACCAGACGAGAATGAACAGGGAGCGCCTCGCCCGTATCAAATAGAGGGAAAGCTTTGCATGTTCAAGTTTTTGGAACATATGAAACTGTCGGAAGGCCTTTCATTCAGAAGCAGCAGCGTCAATATTTTGATTTGGGATTATCATCAACCACTTTTATATTCTATCCCGGGAGTTGGGTGTCCTCTTGTTTTTAACCTCTCTGGGATACAATGTAGGCTTAGTCATATCCGAGCATTTACTTAATTGACAACTGGATACACCAAACTGTCTATTCTGTCTCTCTCATGATTCTCTCTACTATATAAGACCTACTAAAATCCGTCTGTTTCTGCCCATCGTTTTATAGAACAAGGCGAAAAGTACATGTGAAACTTAGGTATCAAGTGTGTAACGAATTAGAAATGTTACGGGAGATCCCAGCAAGCAGGAAGGAAAGACCTTTGATTATTATTGTTGATATCAAGCTCAGTAGTAAAATTGGTTTCCAACCTCGCAGCCAGCCCTCTTCTCTTTCCATCTCTTATTTCTTTATTTCTATTTTCTATTTTCCATTCTCTAGGGAGGTGCATGACAAATGCGAAGTGTAGGGTCGCTCTTGCCATAGCTGGCTGATGTAAGGTAGGCGACGCGTGAGCGCCTGCCCAGGCAAAAATTTTTTATGCAGCGCTCCTTCCCCATACACTTTCACGTGGGTTCATACTTGATAATCAAATAACACCAACATCCAATACTAGCAATGGGCCCCCGAACTAAGCCTCCGTTGAAACGGAGCAAGAAAGAAAAGAAAGATCCCAATATCATAACTTTTTCCAACGGAAAGACTCTGTCGCTGGAAGCATATCTCGCCAACCCAAAACCCAAGCCGTCGCCTGCATCTGCTCAGCCGCCTACTGAGCCGTCGTCGGCTGAGGCAACCTCAACCCTGGGCACTACTTCCAAGGATCCTGCCGAGGAGGTGAAGCTCAAGGTCAAGGAACAGGCACCTAAACGAAAATGGGACGACAGGAAAAGCAAAGACGATGAGAAGAAGAGCCACGAGGGGGTCAAGCCTAGACCTCAGAAGGACCCCAAAACCTGGCAACGGCATTGCAAACCGGAACAGAGAAACACCGATGACAAGGGCCTTCTTAAGGAACGTCAGAAGCTTCCGATTGCACAGAACCGTGGCGACATCCAAAAGGCCGTTCAAGATTCGGATGTCCTGCTCCTTGTTGGTGAGACTGGCTCAGGAAAGAGTACCCAGGTGCCCCAGTTCCTATATAAGGAGCCATGGTGCCAACGCCAAAGCGTCAAACTGGAGTCTGGAAGAGAGGTGTCAGTCGGCGGCATGATTGCCATCACGCAACCTCGCCGTGTGGCTGCTACAACATTGGCAAATCGCGTGGCACGTGAGGCAGGGACACCGCTCAAAAACGGCAGTGGTCGTCAGGAAGGGGCCGTGGGGTACTCCGTGAGATTTGATCACAACGTTCCTCGAGGGACAAGAATCAAATTTCTTACCGAGGGCATGCTGCTTCAAGAGCTTCTGCAGGACCCCAACCTGCGGGACTACAGCGCTATCATCGTCGATGAGATCCACGAGAGGAGTCTGGATGTCGACCTTCTCGTCGGCTTTCTTAAACAGATTGTGGCCAGCAACAAAGAGGGACGAGGAGGTATCCCGCTCAAGGTCATCATCATGAGTGCGACGGCTGATGTGGATGTCATCAAGGGCTTTTTCAGCGACATTTCCCCTGCGGGCCAGCAGGAGGATGCGGTTCAGGTCCTTCGGATCAAGGGACGACAGTTTCCTGTCGAGACTATCCACGAGCGGGAGCCCGTGGCAGACATCACTGATGCACTTGTGGATACTGTGATGAAGATTCACACGCAGGAGCAGTTTCCCGGCGACATTCTCGGATTCCTCGTTGGCCAGGAGGGGATTGAGGAGGCCCAGAAGTTGATTGAGGAGCGGGCATCAGCGCTCCCCTCTAATGTGCCAAAGATCAAGGTGGTGCCCTTGTTCGGGCAGATGTCCAACGAGGCGCAACGAGAAGCTTTCATGCCCGCCAAGACGCACTTCACGCGCAAGGTGGTGCTGGCGACAAACATTGCCGAAACATCAGTCACGGTACCGGGTGTCCGGTATGTAGTTGATGGCGGAAAGGCGAAGGTCAAGAAGTATCGAGCACAGCTGGGCATGGAATCACTGCTACCCAAGCCCATCTCCCAGTCGTCAGCCGTGCAGCGGAGGGGTCGAGCCGGCCGTGAGGGGCCGGGAAAGTGTTTCAGGCTATATACCGAGGAAGGGTTCAAGGGGCTTCGCGAGGTTGATGTACCCGAGATTCTGCGTACCGACGTGACTGGAGCGGTGCTTACCATGAAGGCTCGAGGCGTGCAAGACATTCTCAACTTTCCATTGATCGATTCGCCGGACCTCGAGGCAATGCAAAAAGCCATGTTGCACCTGCATTTCCTGGGGGCTGTGGACGAGAAGGGTGCCATCACGACAATGGGTGAGAAGATGGCAAGACTACCCGTCCCTGTACCTCTGGCAGCCGTGCTGTTTTGGGCTTCCAAGCCGCAATTTGACTGCGTACTTGAAGCCGTCGACATCATCTCGTGCATCACGTCTGGCGGTGACTTGTTTGTGCACCTCCAATCAGAGGAGCAGCAGGAGGAGATGGAGGAAGCGCGCAAGGAGCTCAAGCGCCGCGAGGGCGACATCATCACATATCTGACGACGATGCAGAGATACGCGTCGGAGAATGCGGACCGCACAGACTGGTGCAAGAAACGGGGCATCAACGGGCGCAATATGAAACTCGCTCTCAGCATCCGGAGGCAGCTGCGCAGCATGTGCGTCAACAATGGACTCCTCACCGAGGCGCCCCCGGCCGACCCGCAGCCGTTTGAGCCCATCTCACCAGAGAGGGCTGAGGCAGTGATCAAGTGCTTCCTTCGGGGCTTCGCCAACAAGACGGCGGTGCTGCAGCCAGACGGAAGCTACAGCACGACGGAGGGGAAGCACACAGTGTCGATACACCCGTCGAGCGTGTTGCATGGGAAGAAGAAGGAGGCCATCATGTTTCTGGAACACGTTTATACACAAAAGAATTACGGAAAGAAGGTGAGCGCCATCCAGGCGTCTTGGATTCTCGAACCATACGAGGAACGGTACAATTCATTCACGCGATAGCCAGTCTTTCTTATAGCATATAAATATCTTGATCTATGATGTGCAATAATGCACCTACTACTACTAGTCTACAGAAAACGGTGATCTTCTCTCCCTCTACAAAGCGTAGTATACATGGTAAACGATGATGAGCATGGTCTACGATTCCGACTCCCCTTCCCCGCGATTCTGAATAGCCTGCATCAGCTCGTACAGCTGGTGAACTTGCTCATCTGTAAAGGGTCAGTAATTCTGTACTGGCTGTTTTTGGGGGGGAGGACAAAATTTCGGGGAAAAAAAGAAATAAAGAACGAAAGAGAAAAATAAACTCACCACTCAACTTCTGCAGCTTTCCCTCCTCAATCTTTTCGCCCTTCCACGAGTCTCCCTCCACCTTTTGAGCGTAGAGCTGCCACTCTGTGAGAAAGCCAATCTGGAGCGACGGTTTTGTCAGCATGTCCACTTTGGACGGAGAAGGGTAAGAGAAAAGGAGAGAGAGAGGCAGAGAAAAAGGAGGAGGAGGAGGAGATGTGTTTGGAAGAGAAAAGTTGCATACCAGATGTGCGGGATTGTCAACCTTGCGATGAGCCCTGAACTCGGCCTTGATGTACTCGTCTCCCAGGAGGCGCATCTCACTGGGGAGATGCTTGCGATGGGCGCGCAGTAACCGACGGTACAGGGGGATGGGGGGGAGAAGAGCCATGGGTGTGGGACGGAGACCCCGAGGGGTAGCGGCGGCCGCTAGCCTAGTTATTGAGGGGTGCATCGTTGTTGTTTTTGGCCTTTTTCCGGAATGAGTTGAGTCGAGAGTCGTGGTGAGTGAGTGAGTGAGTGAGTGTATCTTCAGGATGAAAACCCGAGGTACCAATACACATTATGGAGGGTTGATGGCGGGCCAAATCGTACAGTATCCATGTACAGTATATGTACTGTATATCCATGTACAGGTGATGATGAGAAGAGGAGGGAACAAAGCGGTCGTACTTGCATGTTGATATATAAATATATATATGTATATGACGAGGGGAATATATCAGAGGCCTCTGTTATTGGAAAGATATCCTCCATGAATCCATCCTTGCAATATTACCACCAAGCGGTAATAGTCGCCAGCATCCCGCTCGAATTTTCGACCCCACCACAAACTTGCCTTCTCGACAGTTAGAGCCAACACCCCAAGCAGAAGGGAGGGTAAGAAGTAGGTCCTCTCCACAAAGCCCTCCATGTCATTCTCCTTTGGATTCTCAGGCGAAGACATCGACACGAGCCTGTCTCCCGAGGTTCCGGCTCCCGCTGTCCCCGTCGCCGCCGCGGCAGCGGCAAACAGTGCCTTCCCGGTCCAAGGAAAACCCCAGCTCCCGCCAACCCACCACCCGCTCCCATCGCTGCTATCTCAGCTCCCCTCCAAGATAGCCTACTCAAGTCTAGATGTAAAGATAGACGGCTCACCGTCTCCTGTGCGCATCCCCCGTAGAGAGCTGTGGGATGTGCGCGTGCAGCTGATGGCCGAGGCCGAGGGCGAGGGGGTGGAGGGACTGGGCGAGCATGATGTCAAGACGGGCGTGTACGAGGGTGGATTCAAGAGTTGGGAGAGCAGCGTCGATCTGGTCAAGGTTCTTGCCGCGCAGGACATCTCATCCACCACATCGCCCATGCGTGTCATCGAGGTATAACACACACACACACACACTCTCTCTCTCTCTCTCTCTCTCTCGTTCTCAGAGAGGAACATGTTCATACTGACTGACAGAACCAGCTTGGATGCGGAACTGCTCTCCCCTCACTCGCCATATTCCAATGGGCCATATCCTCCCGCTCACCGGCCAACTCCAATCCACACCCACTCAGCTTTGTCCTGGCCGACTACAACCCTTCTGTCCTGCAACTCGTCACCCTGCCCAACCTGATTCTCTGCTGGGCTGTCTCATGCCGTTCCACGACGCCCGCCCTGTCGGTGGCCTTTTCTGATGACGGCGACGACGGTAAAGACGGCGGGGAACTCGACCTTGACCCCCCCGTCGTCGAGGCCTTCCAGACTTTCCTGGCCGCCGCCAACATTCAGCTGTCCTTCGTGTCGGGCTCTTGGTCTCCCGAGTTTGTCCAGATCATCTACGGAGATGACACAGCAGGCAGCAGCGGCAGCAGTGGGACCAGCACGCTCATCCTGGGTGCAGAGACTATTTATTCTCCCTTCGCCCTGCGGGCATTCACGGATACCGTGCTCGACATGCTCCGACGCGAGCGTACCGCCAACGCCCAGGCTTCTGCCCTCGTTGGCGCTAAGCGCCTGTACTTTGGTGTGGGGGGGTCGCTGGATGACTTCGTTGCTGCTGCTCAGGAGAAGGGTGCTGATGTCGTCCAGCTCAGCGAGGAGGCTGAGGGTGTGAGGCGAGGGGTTGTCCGATGCTCGCTGCCCACATGACGCGGCACCGTGGGAAGAAACAAAGCAGAACAGAATATAGAGAGAAGAAAAGCTATGAACGTATCACTTTCTGCACGGTGAAATGTAGATGAGGGAAACCATAACGTGACGTGTGGTATCGATTTCTGACCCGACACCTGTGAGCTTTCAAGCTTGTGAATCATACCTCCTGTTCAGACGCCGCGAGGTATACCCGTCCTCGTAATCGAAATCCAGGGCTTGCTAAACTAGAATAATCATAAAATGTACAGTCTCATCATACAGCTGGTCGTGCTTCCTCACTTGGTTTTGCGTCCAAACTTCTCCGCACAGACAGGACAGTACCAGGTCCCGTTGGGCTCGCTCTTGAGACTAACGCATGACCAGTGGAACCACTCGTACGGGCAATCGTCGTTGTCGCATGCGACCATGTCGCCGTAGCTGACATTGTGGCATAAGCAGTACTTTTTGTCATCGCTTCCGTCCTCTTCCTCCTCCTCAACGTCCATCATGGTCTCATCCCCCTCGGTGTCCTTAGTTCCGCCTGTTGGTGTGGCCCGCGACCGACCATCGACGTCCTCGTTCTCGCTTCCGCTAACGGCATCCGACAGATCGCTATCTGCCGTTGACGCCGGCGAGTTCCTGTTTGAAGCTTTCTTCACCCGCGACAGCGAAGACTTCGGCGGCTTCTTGCGCCCGGTGCTAGAGGGTGTCCCGCGCCTCGACCCGGGGCCCGCGGTTCCCTTGACCGACGTGGCCCTAGGGCCGGCACTACCTGCTCTGACGACGCCACTCGGACTAGGAGAGGCAACACCTTTGGGTGTGCCAGGCCCCAGCGACGAGTGCCTTGCCAGGCCGCTGGATGTGGACAAGACGGGGTTGAGTCCCGAGCCTGCACGTCCTCCCCGCTTCGATGCCGGCCCTGCCGAGTTCTCCCGCTGTTGGCGGTTGACAATCATGCTGACTGCGGGGGTGGCAGGCGCCGACGAGGCATGATGCTGCTGTGTGTTCTGTTGGTTCTGTGCGTTGCGCACTTGGGCGTGGCTGGGGAGACGGGCGAGGGTCGGATTCGACGAGGTGACGGGAGGGCCGGCGGCGGCGGCAGGGCCGCTGACGCTGATGGTGCTCGCCGTGCTTATCGGCTGGACGGCCGGGGCCGCGACGTTGGCGGCGCTGGGGCGGACCAGCGAGGGTATCTCGTCGGGGTTGTTGAAGCCAGGCTCGCTGCGGTCGTAGAGTCCCTTAATCTGTATGTCGAGAGCCCGGAGATGCTTGTCCATGACAAGGGAAAGCTTCTGGGTCAGGGCAATCTTGTCCCTCTGTATCTCATCGGCACGGGCAAAATTCTCTCGGATCTGGGCGCGGAGCGTATCTTCCTTTGGATTCGGCTCGTGGCTGCCGTTTGTCTTGATCCATTTTTGGATCTTGGCATCGCGATCATCGATGATGCGCGTGCACTCGTTGAACTGGCGATCCTTTTCGGTGATTTCCTCGTGGACGAAGCGAATCTCCTCGGGGAGATTCTGTACCCGGTTGATCCAGTCATCGAGGATGACCCCGGGGTCAACACTCTCAACCTGGGGCATCCCCCTGACAAAGTCAATGGACAAGTCGTCCCTAGGCATAATGGTTATTAATATGGCGTCTTCCCTTCGATAGTATGCCGTCGAATGCAAGGGTCGTCAGAGGAACAACACAGGTTACCGCGTTGGACCGCGTTTTGTTTGCTCGGTTCTCTTCGACCAACCAGCCCACAAAGGGTGGGGAGTGGATGAAGGCGAGGAAGCGCGTAGATAGAAAGACGACAGGAACGATGCTCAAAGATGTGAAGAGGTGTGTGGGTGGTTGATAGCTGGACAAAAAAAAAGAGACCAAGTCCCCGCAGCGTGTTGAATCGCCAGGGTTAATTGGCTGCTGTCGTTGACATAAACAGGGCCAGCCAAGAAAGCCAGCTAGAGGTGAGGCCCTGCGGAGTATGGAGCAGTAATACTACTCGTAGTACTACTCGCATTATTATGCAGAGGCAATGACCCCGCCTTGGAACTCGCTGCGCTCTCGAGCCAGCCCTGTGCGCCAAGGAAAAGACACAGGAGTAGAGGGGTCAAGAGAGGCGTATATGTGGGATGCAAGGGGGAAGGCAGTATGTAATGGCAACAGACATGTATGCTGTGTAGAAGAAAATCCAGGAAAATAGACACGGGAGGAGCGCAGACAAGAGGGTGACTCGATGAATTGACGCGGCTCACCTCGATTCTGTGGATAAGAGTAATACAGAGTATCGGTAATACTCCGTACTCGTATTGCTATGTGTTAGGTAGTGCAAAAAGTGGTCTCTCTGGCTTGGCCCTGGTGGCGTGAAGGCTCTGTCTGGCTGGGAGGGGTTAATGCCTGCTCTGACAGCTGGTAGCAGGGGCCCGGGAGATGATGCCGTTGACGAGATGTCAAGAGCGATACAGATACCAGGTCAAGGTAAGGGTTTGAGTGGTGATGACGATGATAAGGAAGCTGAAGGCTAAAGAGGTTGCTTCTGAGGGTTTGACCGCTTTCTACATTCGTTTTGCCGGGTCTTTGCATCGCTCCTTCTCTCCATTTGGTCGTTTTCACGGGCAAATCATCAGTCATCAGTCATCAGTCATCAATCATCTAAAGGTTGAAGACGGTTAGCGTATCCCCGTCCCTCCGTACTTTGGTACCGTGTGCTTTGTAAATCTGTACGTACTTTTTTCCCTTTTTTTCCCCTTTTTTTTTTGGTCCATGAGTGGTAATAATAGAATGTACGAGTATCCCATGTCTACCCGTTTCTCAGGATCGACATAAACACACATCTCTTTCAACTCTCACTACCTCCCTCACACTCAACGACCTAGCATTCCGTCACTGTCGCAATACATTAATTACCGACACAAGGTTTCCACGTCACTATTATCAAGGCCATATTCACCCTCACGACCTGTCTCCCACGTATTCCTCAGCCGCCGGGTCCCTCATCATCACACAAATCTCACTAGCGACGGGTCCCGACTCAACCGGCGCATCTTGAGAGAGAGGAAGCGAACAGGCCGATCCATAGCAAACCTATCTAATACTGGTTCCTTGGTAAAGGGCGTCGCGCCTCTATCATGGACGCCGACGCGTACAGGTATCGGGCGCCAAAGCCTAACTACATGCCTCACAAGCCAGACATTGACCGCAATGAGATTGTCGAGGAGTATAGCCCGCTGGGGCTGGCGGGCGAGATGGACGACGCCAAGTTCTTTGCCAAGTGCCAGCGCTACGCCGAGAAGGCGGGCGTGACTCGACCCAAGGGATACAATGTGTCGTTCCATTGCAACCCGGAGATGGAAAAGCACCACTTTGGCCAGACGCACCCCATGAAGCCGTGGCGGCTGACCCTGTCCAAGAGTCTCATTTACTCGTACGGCATGTCGTTTGCCATGGACAACTACATCTCGCGCGCTGCCACGTACGAGGAGCTGGCATCGTTCCACTCGACCGACTACCTCGACTTCCTCGGCACGGTGCTGCCAGAGCCGGTGCCGCGCGATCTGGAGAACTCGACCCTGGACCTCAAGTTCAACCTGGGCGGATCCGACTGCCCGCTCTTCGACGGTCTGTACGACTACTGCTCGTTATCGGCGGGCGGCGCGCTGGATGCGGCGCGCAAGATCTGCTCCAAGCAGTCGGACATCGCCGTCGCCTGGGGCGGCGGGCTGCACCACGCCAAAAAAGCCGAGGCGTCGGGGTTCTGCTACATCAACGACATCGTCATCGCGATCCTGCAGCTGCTGCGGTACTATCCGCGCGTGCTGTACCTGGACATTGACGTGCACCACGGCGATGGCGTGGAGGAGGCCTTCTTCTCGACGGACCGCGTCATGACGGTGTCGTTCCACAAGTACGACCCCAACAACTTCTTCCCGGGCACGGGGTCCCTCGACGACAACGGCCCCAAGTCGGAGCACAACCCCGGGTCGCACCACGCCTTCAACGTCCCCCTCAATGATGGCATCACCGACGAGCAGTACGACAACCTCTTCAACACGGTCGTCGGCAAAATCGTCGAGAAGTTCCGCCCGGGCGCCATCGCCCTCCAGTGCGGCGCCGACTCCCTGGCCGGCGACCGTCTCGGCCGCTTCAACCTGCAGGTCCAGGGCCACGGCGCCTGCGTCGCCTTCTGCAAGCGGATGAACATACCCCTCATCCTCTTCGGCGGCGGCGGCTACACGCCCCGCAACGTCGCCCGCGCCTGGACCTACGAGACCAGCATCGCCATCAACCACAGCGCCAAGCTCGACCCCATCCTGCCCCTGCATGCCCCCTGGAGGGACCACTTCCGCCACGACACCCTCTTCCCCACCCTCGAGCAGACCCTGGGCGAACCCCGTCAGAACAGAAACACCCAGAAGCGCCTACAGGACATTGTCCAGCACGTCACGGAGCAGCTGCGGTACGTGCAGGCCGCCCCCAGCGTCCAGTTTCAGATCATACCTCCCGACCTGGCCGGTATACGGGACGATGTCGAGGAGAGGCTGAAGGAGGAGAAGGAGGAGAAGAGGGACGAAATTCGACGCGTGCGCGAGGCCGCCGTCGGGACACCCATGGAGTTTTAAGTTTTCCTCTTGATATTGAAGCCAACAAATTGTATTTTTTTTTGTGCTCTGCTCTTTTCTCGGAGCAAGGACTCCCATACTACTAGTAGTGGCGGAAACGAGCTTGGATGAAAGCACCTGCATCGACACTCTACTCAACCATTGGAGGTTCTAGAAACAAACCAATCATGACTGGACGAGATGGTTTGAAATAATATTTGATGAATTGACTTGTATGAGAATGCACAGTATACACGAGTGTCCAAGAACGAGAAAAAAGATTCATACCCTCAAGGACAAATGCATACATGCATACATACACACACACATATACATATGTATATATATATATATATATATATATATATATTCAAATATAAAATTAGAAAACCACTTTCTTGAAGAAGAAAAAAAACAAAGCAATATCCAATTTCCTTTCTTTCTTTTGCACTCCTTTAATATAACGCCATGAAGAGAGACAGATGGAATAGAAGATGATCAAGCCCGCGAGTGGATCCTACGCAGTTGGACGGAGACGAAGGCGACGAGGGTAGTGCCGATGACGAGACCCAGGGTGAGAAGCATGAGGTTGACCGGGACGGGATCCCCGCGGAAGGTGTTGTGGAAGAGGAGGTCGAGGGCGGACTGGGAGAGGTTGAGCAGGCCGGAGAGGCAGATGATGAGGCCGTAGACGGTGCCAAAGGTGCGGAAGCCAAAGACCTTGGCGGTGTAGTCGGAGACGGCGGTGTAGTAAAAGGGGCGGTAGACGACGAAGAGGAGGATGTTGGCGTAGGCGGCCCACACGTACGGCAGGACGCCGAGGACGCCGATGACGGCGGCGAAGCTGACCAGGGCGGACAGCACCGTCACGGTAGACGTGTTGTCGAGCACGATGCCGATGAGGGGGATGGCGACGAGCCCACCCACAGGCAGGGCCACGTCGAAGAAGGTGTTCACCTGCGCGGCCAACTCGCCGTCGCCCAGGAGGGACTCGTACTGCGGGTAGATGGTGGCGACGAAGTAGTTTATGCGCGTCATCTGCACGACGGTGAACAGGCAGATGAGGATGAACCAGGGCGAGGTGACCTGCTCGACGACCGTCTTGTCGTGCATGATGCCCCACACTCCAGAGGTGACGTTCTTGCGCTCCTCGGCGTCGAGCTGCTCGTCTCCCCTGGTGGATCCGAGCAGGGACTCGATCTCGTCAATCACGGTGGCCTCGTCGTTGAACCTGCGCTGACGCTGCTGGTGCTGCTGGTGCTGCTGCCGCCGCTCATCCTGCAGGAGCGCCGTCTCCTCGTTGACCTGATCGTCGTATGCCGAGGAAGAGTGGTGCTGCACCTCCTCGACCATGTCGACCAGCTCCCCGACCGTCTTGTAAGACTTGGCCGGCATGAGCGTGACCTGGGCGACGACCACAAAGGCCGGCACGACGAGGTAGACGAGGAAGAAGCGGTGGTGGTCGAACGCGCCGCGGGTGGCGTCGTACACGAGCCGGTAGATTAGGAATATCGCGCTCGAAGAGTCGAAGGCGCCCGTCAGCAGGGCCAGGATCAGGCCCGACTGCCGGGGGAAGGCGTTGGACAGCTGGAAGGACGAGATGAAGGTGAAGGGCCCGCCCAGGGCGAGGAGCAGGTACCCCAGCAGGAAGCCGTCAAACGCCAGGTGCTGGGCGTACGATAGGAGGAGGGCGCCCGAGGCGAGGAAGACGCTGCCCACCAGGCCGCAGACGCGGGGGCCGAAGCGGTCGAGGATGGCGCCCACGGGGAGGGCGGCTACGTTGGTGCCGACGGCGGCCACGGTGAACATGAGGTTGAGGTGGATCTCGACGCAGGTGCTGTTGTCGTCTCCGGGACACTGGTCGCGATATGCCCCCTCCCGCTTCAGGACCGGCTTGATGGCCGCGTAGCCGAAGACTATACCTGCGGCGAAGAGGCACCACGTTACGGCGGCGGCGATTTGTGCTGTTCGTGACACGCAGAGCGAGGTCAATATCACTCACTACTCCGCACGTAACACAGACAGGGCTCGTAGATGGATAGATGGATAGAGAGAGAGAGAGAGAGAGAGTACTTACCTATCCTCTTCCATACCGGCACCTCGAACGCACCGACGGCATCGCTCTCAACAAAGGCAGGCGGAGCTAGCACCGGAGCGTGGTCTCGGACATCAGTCGCCTTACCCAGCTCGGGCTGCGACGGGTCCCACGGCTGAGGGAGAGGGTTGAAGCTCAGTCGTCGCGGACGGTGGCCGGCATCGCTGGCTCGGCGGACATGATGGTCTGTGAGTGTTTCGATGCTGGCGACTCGATGGAAAGACATTGCTGCTGCTGCTGCTGCTGCTGCTGCTGCTGCTGCTGTTGCTGCGTCTACCAACTACAGCCTCATAAGATAATAATGACGTTGGAGGATATGTGATGATGGGTGGTTGGAGGTTTTGACGACGATGAAGTGCGGCACTGCAGCCGGACACGGCGGAATGAAGGGCTGAGGAAGGATCACAGAATTGATCGTGTGAGTGAGGGGAAAATAGGTTTACCGCATGGTGGGTGACGGAATTTATGCCATCATGTTGTCATGGGAGCTGCATACATCCTACTATACTGTACGAGTAGTGAGTGGTATTTATTAATACTACAGGTACCTAGCAATACCAAGGTACTGATGCAGATTGCAGTACGCGGGGAACAAGAAGAGAGACAGAAGATCCGAGGCCAAGACAGAAGAGAAAAAAAAAGAAGAAAAAAGAGAGTCTAGAGATGGCGGGAAAAGTGGATAGCGCTATCCTATCGGCGGGGGGGGGGGTGGGGKTGGGGKTGTTACGATGATACAGGGAAAGAAGAGGAGAAGAAAGAAGGGAAGAAAAAGAAATGCTGTATAACCTGGTGCGCCCATGTAGTAGTGACCCATGTTCGAACCTTTTTTTTTTTTTTTTTTTTTTGGAAATGCTTCTCTCTTTCTCTCTCCCTTCCCCATCTGATCTCTTCTTCGGACATGTGGTTCGTTCACTCTGATATACGCCTGTGAGAAACGCCAGATCTCAATTGATCATCTTGATTGGAGAATTACTGTAATGCCACACTGTGTCCCTCTTGAGACCACCTTATGAGCTCATGTCTCAACTGAGCCGTCCGCGGTACCATGACGGACATGCATGGACGGAGAAGGAAGAAAAAAACTTTTTCTCGTGTTTTTGCCTCTCTACTATTTCCTCCTGCATATCCATACCGGTATTTCTCATTTCCGACCTCGCTACTCTCGAGACTCTCGCAGTTTTCTAAAGGGTCTCCTCCCCCCCCCCC